GTGTGTGTGTGTGTGTGTGTGTGTGTATGTATATGTATATGTATATGTAATGTATATATGTACATGTGTGTGTGTGTGTATATATATATATATATATATATATATCTCCATTATGATTAGTAATCCTTAGAGTGGGATAGGATCTGTAGTCATGTTTGAATTCATGGAATACTTGACCAGCCTTTTTCTTTGGGAACCATTTTCCCACAGAACTGTTTGAAACCTTGGACACTTTGTCCAGGAGATTTCAATGCTGCTTCTGGAGACCCCATTAACTCGATCTATTTAGTCTGGCTTTATACATTGATTTGACATTTGATCACAATGATGGATGATCTGTTCCAAGAGAGATATGAAGGAGCACAACCCTGTTGAAACTCCTAGCCATTTCAGAATAGGAATAGACAATGTAAGGTGCTGGCTGACTCCTTTTGCACATTTCAGTACCTTTCTGATTGTGCTACTAAAATAACATAATGTGACCAACTTAAGTTAATATGCACAATCTGTAGCATGTCCTGGAATAACCTATATTTGTTTGTCCTTTCCCTCCCTTTTCATCCTATTCCACCAAAAACAGAAAACCTTCCCCCCAAAGATATCCATTTCCCAATTACCTAAAGATTATACATTCCTATAATAGGGTGAAAATAAATGAAGTTACATCTGCCTGAGATTAAATGGTTACTTTCACTAAAAATAAATAAAATCTAGAGATATAATGCAGAATGTTTGGATCACTGACTCCTTACTTTTTTCTACCTGATATTTCAGCGTTCAGGTAAACCTCTTGCATTAAATGTATTTTTATTTGAAAGACATTAATTTCAAAGAAAGGACAAATTGCAACACTTAGTGGCCTTTCAGAGGTCAAGTGGAGTTCCAAGAGGTATTTTTTCTATCCATTTCTCTCTGATGTTAAAATTTAAACTGAAAGCTGGCATACATATTTTATAGCTGGGGAAAGGACTGTTAAATAAGAGTGCTAATCATTATTTTTGTTGGTAATGGTAAATAGTTGCAAAGTATGGCATTTTAAAAATGCTATACAGTTCCGTATTATCTCACATCCACAGCGTAGCAGTTACAGATATGGCATCAAAACATCAAAAAATATAAAGACAAATATCAGCCATTGCAAAATTACAATATAGTCTTTGCAGAATCTGTTCAGTTTGGGGTTCTGATCAGTGAAGAGATAATTACTGTGAAGTATTTCATGACCAATCAATGTGATCTGTCTAGCATTCTCATGATACAGAGAATCACACACAATATTCAGTGCAAGATCACAAATATTTTCTTCTTGGAAGATATTAATGAATTTAAGAACACTAATGACTGAACTACAGCATATCAAACAGTAAATGTTTTTTAACTGTGATGTTACAGAACTATCATGTCAAGGCCAACATTTCTTTAACCCTCACAAGGACAAAGAGGACATATAGCTCTGATTCACTATGCTTCATCAATTAAGGAAACATTGGATTCTGTAAAATCCCATTGGGATGGTCATTGGGTTGTCAGGTTACAATAACTTAGAACACAATATAATTTTTCGCATGAAATCTGAAAATTGCCTTGGAGTAAAAATTAACTTGTGTTATTAGTTGCCCTAGTATATCCAAACAAAATCATTAACAGACATCAATTTGATTCTATTTATACCTATTACTTTAAATCTTGGCCGCATTATGGAATGTTAGAAAAAATATCCCTTAAACATTCAGTCTAAAGATTTTCTTATGGTCTCAAATCTTGACAGGCACAGGCCAGGAATTATATAATAGGCCTTATCAATCCGTTGAAGGAAGTAGTTTGCAACATGTGGATTCTATTCTAAATGCAAAAAATTGCTGGACATATTGACTTTTTCAGAAGATGAGCAAGCTGATGGCAATTTGAAGCCAAGGAACCAAGTACCAGTGTTAATTAAGAAATAATAGATTAAGGTCTTGTAATTCATAATCCTCATGTGAAGGATTCTGGTCTACAACTGAAAACAAGGCTCCCTAGCATTCTAGAGGATAGGACATAATTTGGAGAAACTAAGACAAAAGAATAACTGCAACTTGACTGTGAAGTCTGACTCATTAAAATATCTGTTAAGTTTTAGGTGAATCTGAGTGGGAATAAAGAAACTTTGGATACTAAAGGCCACTTGAGATCCTCTAAGGAAGCAGTTTGTGTCATAGCCAGTCTTGAAACCACATGTTGTACGTATCTGAACTCCTTAAGTATGGATGTTAACTGCAACCAACTGTCCCTTGGGACTTTTCTTTTGTATTTGGTGAGTTGAGGCTGAGTTGTGACTCTCAGTCTGTTTTCAGACAGTGATTTACTTCTTGACCCCTTAACAAGCATGAAAGACAATCTCCAAATATCTAAGGTCATATAATTTGCTCAATGAAGTTTTCATTAATTTTCATTACTCTGCACTTCTAAATGATCTCTTTATAAAGATAGTAAGAATAGGAACAGTGATTCA